GAATATGATAGTGATCTCAGAAGTTAGTATTAAAAAATAAAAAAAAAAGCTTACGACACTCGGTATTCCCAGGCGGTCACCCATCCAAGTACTAACCAAGCCCGATGTTGCTTAACTTCAGTGATCAGACGAGAACTGGTGTATTCAACATGGTATGGTCGTAGGCATACAACATTCTTTCACCCATCCTTTTTGTAGTATAATACGGGTGTGGGTGATGAATTCAAAACATTCACATCCACACCTACAGCCACATCCTCAAGATGGGGGAGTCGAACTCGAATATATAGACCTAAACGTGGAGTCAGAGCTGAGTCGGAACCAGCAGAGGTCGAAGCCGCTCAGCCCTGATCCAGAAACCGATACTGTGGTTATTCCCTCTGCTTATGGGTTACCTTCACTGAAGCCTATTAGTATGGTAACAGCACAAAACCATACGTCATATTTAATGACCCGAGCACCAACACTTCTTCCAATTCTTCAAATAATTAGATAGAAACGATGCAAAAAATAAGTTAAGAACTCGAATAAAATTATGACATCAAGCGGTGCAACTGCTAAGTTTGTGAGTAGATCGTCCCTACTCAAACTAACCGTAAGATCCATATTTGCGTTACCCTCAAATCGTATTTCGACTGAAAGTCTTTCTTTCGAAAGCGAAAAGAACAGTACATAGTAAATTCAAATTTCTCACTACCAAAAACCGTCTGTAAAACTTTATATGAAACCATCACTTACTCAAAGTAAAAATGCTAAATCTCGATGCCTTACTATCAAAAACGTCTAGCCACCCTTTACAAGAGTACGGCATCGAATAAAATCGACAATTGTTGTTATTTAGACAGAGAAACAAGTAGATAGATGCAAACGCTTCTTTCTCGTATGATCTTGCATATAACTGAGAAAGTTTCAAACTTAAGACGCAAGTAGTGCTCGGGTAATAACTCTCTTATCTCTTTCTCGTACAAATGCTATCTTTCCACATTCACTGAAAATAGAATCCCTTTATTTTTCATCACTCTTACTCAGATTCATAAATTCGATAATGGATCTGCGTTGGATTTCGTCAGAAAAAAATCAGTCAATTGCTGCAAATTTTATGAGTGCTCTTTTTATCTATATTGTATTGTGATTTCAGGCACCTATTGGATTCGTCTGCTGGATCCTATGATATCCGATATTTGAATTCGATGGAAATCTGAAACGACGGAATCCGAAGTGAATCCGCCACTCAAAATCCTCTGGATTTTGTCAGATTGTTGGATTTCGATAGAATCCAGTATAGGATCCGATAGAAACTAACATAAGTGAGAAAACAAACGATTTCGACTTCCTACATACTTTTCTACAAGAAATACAATACCATACTATTCACAGAAGTGCTTTTTCTCCAAAATTCGATTTCTATTGGCTCTCATCGAACACCGTCCCTCCTCTGAGCTGTCTTACTGAACAGACCTTAGATTCGGAGCCTCTAACCCCAAAAGTCTTTTAATTAAGTTTTACAACGCATTTTATTTTATATGACTCTCTACAATTCGGGGAATAAAAGAAAGTAATAAAATAAAATGTAATAGAACGCAGTAAGATAAAATATAAGAAAGCGATAAAATAAAATGTAATAAAATGCAAGAAAATAAAATGCAATAAATCAAAGTAATAAAATAGAATGTAATAGAATACAATAAAATAAAATACAATAAAATAAAATACAATAAAGTAAAATGGGTACTTTGGAATAAAATAAAATGGGTAGTTTCACATAAGTTCTTCTAGGTTTTACGGAGCTTCCTGCCGACAAGTTTTAACTATACTAGTCGTACAGCCCTTATCGAGTTGCATACGAATTCATAGTTTGTTTTCATTGGAATCATGCGTTTACTGTACATCCCAAGAGTCAAAATCGATTTTTTCGACAAAATGGCCCCCGGAATGTGCCTGTTTTATTTCTGGTGCGCATTTTCGGAACTTTTCAATTTAACCATTCGATAGAGCATAAAAAGATGTCTTTGTAAAATAATTTTCAGCATTATATCTTTAAAGCTCATTGAGCGTGGGGTGAGTGAGAGTTAGGGTGAGAGTGTAAGTGGTATGAGTATAAATATAATATTTATATCACATTCGCATCTACACCGACACTCTCAAGTTTTTATGCACTATCGAATGGTTAACTTGAAAAGCTTCGAAAATACTTATCAGAAATAAAACAGGCACATTCCGGGGAGATTTTTCGAAAGAAATCGATTTTTACCCTACTCATGTACAGTTAGCGCATGGTTCCATCGAAAACAAATTATGAACTCGTAGACAACTCGACAAGGGTTATAAGACTAGAATAGTTAAAGCTTACCAGCAAAAAATTCTATAAAACCTGAGAGGACCCGTGTAGAAGTACTCAAATACAATAAATTAGAAAAATAAAATACAGTAATAAAATGAAATAAAATAGAGTAATAAATCAAAATGAAATAATATAAAATAATATAAAAGAGTGGATGTTGATGACGAGATACTCATATTAACGATCACACGCACTCTCAGTATTGCAGTCAGGTACTTTCGATTGTTGATATATTTATTTCTCGAAGATTCCTTCTTACTGAGCAACGAAGGTATATATAAAGCATCAGCACGACTGCAATATCATACCACTTTCATACCCGCTCCAATTTACCGGCAACTCAATACTCAAACATTCAAGCAATAGCATACAATCATGCATATTATCAATCAAAAGATTTATTTGGCAGTCTTCTTAGTTTTGATGGCAACAAGCTGCATGGTACGAGGGGAGGAGAAGGGAGTGAATCAAGCTTGGAAACCCAATGGTGATCATCCCAGCTCAAACAACAAACCTCTTCATTGTGTTGCTTGTCATGCTCTTCATTGTGACCGTTGTTCTACAATTACTGTCAGTACTACAACTGCTGCCAGTACTACAACTGCTGCCAGTACTACAACTGCTCTTCCTACTTGTTGTCCTGGTTGTACTTTTGATGGTAATCTTTATAATTGTGGTACTGGTATTTGTTCTACTCTTGGTTGCACTTTTGATGATTTTGATTCTGATGATTCTAATCATCTTTATGGTTGTTCTGCTGGTACTTGTAATCCTAGCCTTGGAAAATAAAGCAGGTATGTTCTATCAATACAGTCTATCGATGATAACTGATTGTTACTTTTCTTTTTAGGATCCATGGCACAAACGCACATCATACCGAAAATCGAACATTTTAATCAAGCTTTATCCACTAGCTAGTGTCCTTTTTCTATAATCTATTAGTTAGTTCCGTTATCTTTATATATTCAACTATTTAACTTTCTTCTTTGATATTCTTCAATATTTTGTGTATTTTTTTCCAAATTTTCAATTCTAATAAAATATACACACCAAAAACGTATCATGATTGTTACCAGCTTACGAACTACTTCAAATATTTACAATAATCACGGGTGGATGTGGGGTTTTAAAGAATAACCTGGTCTATCTATACACATTAAATATATTTAAGGGCAAAAGTATACATATAAATTGCTGTATCATAGCGGCGATAAATAATTTCATTTTAAAATAAATTAAAATTTTTTTTATTCGACGATTGGACTCATTCAAAGAGTCATTCTCAAGATGCACAAGTTTCATACAACTTTCATTTTGACAATTGTTACCTCAGAAAACTTCACATATTTTAATTTTTTACACAAATTCCTCTTTGAAAACAGTTGGAAAGAATTGCTGTCAAAAGATCGAAAAAAAAGATACAAAGAAAAAAATCTCGAAAAAAAATCTCGAAATGAAAATTACCGAAAAAAGTAAATCTCGAAAGAAAAACGTCGAAATTAATAATGTAGAATTTTAATATGTCGAAAAAGTAAAATTTCAGAAATGTAGTATTTCGAATAATTCAGATTTTGAAAGGGTGTTGGTGTGAAAATTACTTCTATCACCAATAGCAACACCCACACCCATCCCTCCCAGTTGAACAATGAAAACCTGGAAATTCCATGCATTCTTTAATAGCAAACAGAGCACGAAGAAATGATGCTCGTTCTTCACTCCATTGATCAGGTCATTCTTTGTCATCATCTAACGTACGATCAATTTCTTTTGCTTCAATTAATGCTTGATCAAATCTTTCATCAACATAAACATTTAAATAAGGTTGATTAGATCGAATTCGATCTGCGTAAACGTGACAAACTTCATATGCAGTTATCTAATAAAGAGAATTTTATTTTGAAATTATTTTTTATTTTATTTTCTTTTAAATTACTTGTCTTTCTCGAATACGTTTAGCAAGTACAGTTGCTGGTTGAAGTAATATCGGATTTGTTATGGCTGGTAATTTAAATTTTTGATTTCCATAAATTAAACGAAAATCAAGTTGAATCCATATCGATAAAAAAAACTACGAGTTAATCAGAGAGTAAATGGAATAAATTTGAAAGTTTTACCCATTGTTAAACACAAGAAAAGTCAGCTAACTGACTACATGAAGAAGAACACAAAAAGAAAGAAGAAGATCAGAGCTCATCTTGTATCAGTCGATATTGTTTTGACCGATATGAATCATCCTTTTTATGACATAATGTTCCATCTAGTGGATTTCAATTATGCATTAAACAATATATACATTATTTATTCTAAGATTTTTTTCTAGTTTTACATAGATCAAGCATTGCTCTACGCTACCCGCGTGAATGGATAAGAAAGATGATAAATGAAATTTAAAAAGCTCCTTTCTCTCTATCATATCCTACGAATACGTGTAAATATATTATCAATTGACCTTGGCTACATAAGCCAATAAATGGATGTTAAATGAACACACAAGGTCTGACAGAAAAAAATGAGAACCAACAAAAACAAAAAGACTAATGAACTAACTACGATAAAAAAAACCACAACCAAAAAAAGCTCAGCTTTGACTAGCAGCACCTTGAGGATCAGCAGGATCTTGCTGACGGTCGCGACTGAAGCGTTTCAAATGTTAAATATGAGATAAATGAGGATCCTCTTAACAAAATGACCTTACTTACCCAGGCGCAACCTTTGTAACTCTCGATACAGACCAGCACGATTAATTTCGTGATTACACAAATTAGCTATTTGTTGTTTATTTAATAAATTGCCCGAACTTACGATATTCTTTAATTGACAAATTACGACGTCCAATTCATCGATTTGTTTTGTAATCGATTGAATCTAAATTAAAAGAATAAATAGAATATTCGATGAGAATTTCATCGTTTCACTTCTTTCCTAGATGTAATAAGATTATGAGGATAAAAAAATTAATCTTCTGTGTATAGTGAGTAATTGAGAAAAAACATAAAAAAGATCATATGAACTTTTTTTTCTTTCATACTTGATCAATTGCCATGTTATGTTGATGAAATGACGAAAATATTATGAAACTGTTACTTTTATCATTGCCTTTTATATCATGTGAACTGTTTTAGTCCGACTGATTCGTCAACATTTTCGTATTCAATGATAACTACACCTAGATCTTGTACGGAAGCATTCCAGTCAATAAGTTCATTAGTCTGAAAGAAAAATTTTTGGAAAATATTTTTTGGAAAAAAACTGTCGCTTCTCCATTATTGTGTTTTGCTAAAAAAAACCCTTTTGTCGCATGCACTAATAAAACATTGATAGAATCTTACTATCATGGTAGATCTTTTCATGATATTCTATCCATGTTTCTAGAAACGGATAATTTTTGTCCATTTTCTAAAAAAAAAGATTTGAAGAAACTTTTATCAACATAAAAAAGCCTCACTTTTCATTTTCTATTTGTTATTCTTATTATTATGAAAAGCTGTTCGTTTTATTCGTTCTATTTTTAGTATGATTTAAAGAAATAAAGGAAAAGAATGGATATATCTATACATGGACATGTGATATAGCTTTCTATTTTCACTTTTCGGTATGTATATTAACCGTTTTCTACTTTTCACATCAAGTTATTCTTGGATTCGATTTTTGTAGAAGTTTTTTTAAAGTTTGATAAAGCAAAAAAATTAAAATAGATTTTAATTTAATTCTCTTTCTGGTAGAGAAGAGTCTTGCAAACATAAATTGTCTGCTTGCTTGTGTGTTGACACGCCAATGATTGATCCAAAAGTTACCTAAACATATGAATGGAGTTTTTTTCTAACGGTTGACCGAAGTCTAAGGGTGTGGGTGTGGGTGTGGACATCGATAAAAAAGACGCTGGAACCCATTTACACTCACACCCTCAATACGATAGTGACTTCGGAAGTTAATATGAAAAACAAAAAAGCTTACGACACTCGGTATTCCCAGGCGGTCACCCATCCAAGTACTAACCAAGCCCGATGTTGCTTAACTTCAGTGATCGGACGAGAACTGGTGTATTCAACATGGTATGGCTGTAAGCGTACAACATTCTCTCACTTATCCATTTTGTAGTATCATAGCTCATCATCATATACGAAATATGACTTTGACAGAAACAAAACCGAATAATAATTTCTAACCATCAAGGCACCGAATTGTAAATGTAATATTGTCATCATATGTCCACTGTTAATAATACTTTGAAAAGCTCGATTTCTATAACTCTAGAGCTTGTCTAATATCGGAAAAATGGTTTATGAATTAGTGAAACTAAGGAATTTATAATTAAAATGTGTATGACATAGATAACATTACAAATATTCACTTGTTAACCCTTTCAAATATTTTTAAGCTGTAATAGCTGCCAATGTCACTTAGACATTAAGACATAGATTAAGACACAGTTTTTAGAATATTCAGCAAAAAAGTAGTTTTTAAATTGAAGATATTTCTAAATATTCGAGATCTGTTGAAGAAGCGAATGATGTTTTGTGGTATAGTTACTTAAATATGGTAGTGATTTCGAAAGTTAGTATGAAAAAATAAAAAAGCTTACGACACTCGGTATTCCCAGGCGGTCACCCATCCAAGTACTAACCAAGCCCGATGTTGCTTAACTTCAGTGATCGGACGAGAACTGGTGTATTCAACATGGTATGGTCGTAGGCATACAACATTCTTTCAGCTATCCATTTTGTAGTATCATATGGGTGTGGGTGCTGGATTTAAGACACTCACACGCACACCCAATCATTATCAAAAAATTGGATCATGATTAAGAGAGGCGCTCATGTGATTAGGATTCAGCGATTGTGTAAGTAAGGATATACATGTGCACACTGATGTTACCATCTATTTTATGAAGTAGTCAAATCGTTCATTATTTGGTCAAGTTCAACATCATCAAACAGCTAACAAAGACACTAACTGCGACAAAAAAGTTTGAAATCACACATTCTGCTAGTAGTACCTAGAGAGCAAGATAGTGCACAGAGATAATTCATGCAATGTTTAGTGAAAGCGGATCACAATTCATTACCAGTTTTATGAACAGCAAACCATCTTTGTAAGAGATTAGAGCTCAGTTGAAATGATGATGATAGTATGGTATAGTAAGCTGAGAAATTAGTATGAAAATATAAAAAAGCTTACGACACTAGGTATTCCCAGGCGGTCACCCATCCAAGTACTAACCGAGCCCGATGTTGCTTAACTTCAGTGATCGGACGAGAACTGGTGTATTCAACATGGTATGGCTGTAAGCGTACAACATTCTTTCACTTTTCTCTTTTGTAGTATCGTATGGGTGTGAGTGAGGGTAATGGATTCAAGACACTCACATCCTCGAACAATGGAAAATGTTAGTTGCTGAGGAATACGATCTTTATCTTCAAACTATTGCAGAGTTGTATGATCCATCAACAAAATCTTGAACAACTGTTCTTAATATGAAATATGCACTACCGTCGTTTACAATATCCCAATTAATAAATGAAAAAGGGTTAATTACTGATGAAGTTAATGATGTAGTTTTAAATAGTGTAAAATCATAACAGTTATTTGAAACACATAAACACAATAAACGAATTTTCAGTTTTAATAGAACCGTTCTCTTTTCGAATTACAATTACATAGCAGTATTGACAGTGACTTATTTTCATGAGATTCATTGAGATTTTACAAATAAATGTCTATCCTGAGGTGTGGATAGGTAGTGATGGGTTTAAATAAAATTAAATCGTACGAGAAAATCGAAAATTAATGCATAAATGAGTTGTCTACTTTTATTCCTCTTGTTCACGAATTTATATTCGTATAAATAATTGAGATATCGCTTATATCCTATGCATCATAGTATGATGGTGCAATAGTGAATCTCATCTTCAACTTTTCCTACGTCAGACGCCTTTGCCATAATGTTACGGTTCGATTGGTGCTTATTAATTATATAATTGTTAATTAACGAAAAATAAATAACTTGTATTCCATTTTACTTATTTTCCATCTTTATAAAATTTATCGAATAATTGGAAATAATTATTCTATTTGGATTCTTTTTTTCTTGCAAAATTAACTCAAAATAATTTTATATGATAAATCAGTATAGCTGCCTTTTCTCAGACGATACAATTGACTTTATTTCCATGCAACAAAACACTCGAGAACATGAGCGCATAGATATGATTGCAAGTAATCCTTATTTGCTCGTTGATCTCCTAGTCTCTTAATTGATCGAAACGGAGATAATTCAGAAATATTAGGATGTTTTAATATTGAAAACAATGTAGGGAACCACATGTTTAAATAAAAAACAAGATACGCTCCATACTTTCGATGAAACCCATTAATGGTAAACTTTAATTCTTTCACGAGCATAATCGTTGATGTATATGATCAAATGCAAAGTGTTAGGTGAGTATTATATTTATCTCATACTCACATCTTCATGTGCCAATATTAGTGAAAAAAGTTCTTTCCAGGTGTGGTAAACAGTTTTCTTATATTGTGGAAAGTTAAAAGTGTTTGTCCTGAATTATGCACTGCAAAGTACTTATAGAAGAAAATAATTACTTTGTCTAATAAGAGCAATACAATGCACTAATCGGTTTTATTTTCTAATTAAATTTTATAAAAAAAATTATATATTAAACAGTGCAATAAGTGTTTACATGTCGGGTTTTTTTCTCTACTCTTATAAATTAAAAGAAAATCTGATGACGAAGATAATAAACAATATGAAAATAATTTTTTTCCACTTAATGCTTCATATTATCCGTTAAGAAATTAGCACTTTGATAAATCATTTTATTTTTCACAAAATATGGATGCAAGTGACATCGTAAGCTATATACAAGCCGGTTTATACGCAGTGAACATACCCGCTGCCCTTATATATTCATGTTGTATTATATTTGTCCGACGTTTTCATAATCGAAATAATATATTTATACTTAACATGTGTATTACTATAATGATAACATGGATTTATTTTATTATCTATTTTTTAATTGCTGAGTTTGAGTATCCACGACTTATATACAATATTATATATTATACATTTAATGTTGCTAGTGTAGAAGTTCCATTTGCTTTCGTGGCTTTTTCTATTCATCGATTATGTTCGGTAGTTTATCATACAAGACCTTTTTTCAAGACAAAACAATGGGTAGTCGTATGTATTGTAAGTCAATGGATAGCTCAATTTGTTCTTTCGTTACCATTTTTTGCAAGAAGTATAAGGGTAAGCATTTACTTTTCAGTATAAAATATTAATTTAAAGATTAAGTAATTTTAGATTTTAGAAAACTAAATGTCTGTTCGGGCATGAATAAATTAAATGAACGAGATAATGAGTTATTCATACAGGACCACTAAATAATTTCGTTCGTTTGTAATTCGATCTTTCTGCTGGAGTTATAATTATTTTGCTGAATCTTTCATATTCTGTAGGGTAATATGAGAAAACTCCAAACAAAAAATTTTACTTTTGAAAATTTTCCCAGCAGTAAATCTCATAGCTCTTATTGTATCTTGAAAGTTGTAGCTCGAACGAATGTATATATATACTTATTGTCTTATTACAGTGGTGTGGCAATCAATTGTCTTTGACAATTTATACACTGGTGATAGCTGCAATTTTACCTTCATTAATCAATATCATACTAAATATCATAATCTTTTCACATGTTCGATCTTCTGCTCGTCGAATTCATCCGCAAGCTATTAGTGCATTAACAAGCGATGTCACTGCTCAACAACCGAAAATAAGTCGTCGAGAAATATCATTATTACGACAGATGATTTTTATGTTTTTAATGTTTATTGGAGGTTGGACTCCTGTTTACATTGTTAACATTTTAGATGCAGCAACAGATTTGAATTTTATGATCGTACAGATTGCTGTTATATTTAGTCAAATATGTGTATTGGGTATTGTTATTAATTTGTTCATATATAATCATGAACTTCGACAATATTTATCAAATAAAATTCGAGTTTGTTTTCATTGTTAGAAAT